CGGCGCTGGTGTTAAGTCAACCTGTAACACAGTTCCAAGGAAGTAAAGGGGGAACCGAGCTCTAGGAGAGAAGAGAGAAGGGAAGGACAATGGGGAGTTTCCGTGACACCCTATTTGGGTGAACACTGGAAAAATGTCCTCCCCATTTTACACTCTGGTGTCATGAGATCTCCAAACAACGCTTTTCTTTTTCTGAACGGGGCGGGGAGAAAGAGATGCAGATCTGTGTGTGTTGCAGCAGAGAGCACAGAAGGGCGGGCAGGGGCAGGCAGGGCCGTGCCGAGGAGGGAAGCAAGCCGTGTCTGCAGGCCCCAGGGGCAGCAGAAGGGAGAGCGAAGTCGGGAGGGTGACCTGCTTGCCCGAAGTTCAACCATTTTCCCTGGTTTAAGGGAACCATGGGGGTTGGGGTGCCAAGGAATTCCCAGGCCACTAATCCTGGGACATGCAAGCTCTTCCCTGCCCCACCGTGCCTGAGGGGGCTGGAGACGTGCTGATGTGGTCATCCCCTGGAGCTGCCTGGAAATTCCTGAATATCTAAAAGGACAGCTCCATGTCTCCCTCCTCCAAATGTCAATGCTCTTTGACGCTTCATTTGTTTTCTTTCTTTTGAACCCACCCATCCATCTAGCAGTTCTCAGGCTTCGGAGGGGCTACAAGTTTGCTGTGTGAAATTATATGTCAAATATTCATCTAAGTGCACATGCTCATGATTAATCATCACACAGAGGAGAATAAACAGAGGAGAAGATGCTCAGTCTCGTCAGGCACCAGGAAAATGCACATTAAAAGTGCAAGGCAATGCCACTAGGCGCTCACTTCTAGAACGGCCGAAGTGAAAAGGTGGGTGAGGACACGGGGCAACCAGAGTGCTCCTCTGTCACTGGCAGGAGCGTGACATGGTTTGTCACCCTGGGAAAAGGGGTGGCAGCTTCTTACAAAGTTCAACACGTGACCCAGCCATTCCACTCCCAGGCAGACATGCTACCGAAGTGTGAGCGTGTGCTCAGCACAGGCAGGTACGAGAATATTCCCAACAGCACTATTCTAAGCCGTCCCTGATTGGAAACGACCCAAATGTCCATCAACGCCAGAATGGAGTAATACGTCGTGGGTCGTTCATACAGGGGAATACGCCTCGGAAACTGCACTGCTCCGACCATGTGGCCGATGCTCAAGAGGGCGATCCTGAGCGACAGAAGCCAGACACGCACACACGATGCGTCTAGCCTGCAGGGGTCTGCTTTGTATACATGAAACGCAGGAAGAGGCAGAACTAAGTCTGGCTGTGAGAAGCAGGGCAGGGGCGGCCTCTGGAGGCGCTGACTGGGAGGAGCCCGGGGGGCTTCTGGAGGCTGGCCGTGTTCGGCCTCTCACCCCAGGTGTGGGGCGTGGGGCGTTCACTCCGTGACAGGTTATCACTCCAGACACTCAGGATCTGGGCTCTGCTCTCGGCATCGGCCGTATATCCACAGCAGTGGGAAGAGAGCACAGGAGGGGTTATGTAAGGAAAAGCCTCAGAACACAGTCGGTTCTGCTCCCCTGACGGCACCGCTTTTGGTCCACTTTCAGCTGTTTCCCCGGGAGGTCGCCACCCCCGCTTCACACATCTGGACGCTGGCTCCCGAGGGAGTGCCATCTGCTGATGCCCCGTCTGGATGGAGGAGGATCAGGCTCACTGGTCTGTGCTGCTCTCTTGGGTGACCTCCCTCATCTCGTGTGTGGCTCCAACAGCTTCCTTTTGGGTTCTACCCATCTCTGACATGAGGAGGGGGGTCACCTGGTGGATTAGAAGAGGTCCTGCGGGGCAAGGCGGGCGGGCACAGCCAGCCTTGGGGAGGCCCTACCTGGCTTCTGACGCTCCATGGTGCTCTCCTGGCTGGTCAGGCCGCCCGAGGAGGAGTCGCTGGACATCCCATCGTGGCTGAAGTGGGGATCAAAAGACAGCAGTGGGTGTGGGGCAGCTGCATACCTGCAGGGGAGTGAGAGGCAAGCACAGGGTGAGGGGCTGATGTGACAAAAACCACCTGAGCCGGAGACTTGCTCACTGGTGGGTTTTAAATACACTGGAGGCTCCGCGCGGAGGGGAGGCTAGATGAGTAATCCTGGAAACGTGCTATTAGCGGAGGGTCAGGAATGAGTCTTGCCTGGGAAGCACGCCAGGGAGCGCAGGGCCATGCAGGGTCCTCCAGGGAAGGCAGGGCAAAAGCCACTAGGGCGGAGGCCCTACCCGTAGGTTCCTCAGGGGTCTTATTTCTTGGCCGTGAAACGGGATGAGCTATTGTTAGCAGCCCCACTTCCCAGGCCTGTCTCAGGGCTAAAGCGTCTGTAGGTACAGGGGCCCTGGCCTCTTTCTCAGCCAGGGACAGTCCCTTCCTAGCCCTGAGCTGCAGTTTCTCTCAACTGTCAAGAGGCGATCGCAGTAGGCCTTTCCTCAAAAGACCGACTGATGTCCTGTGTCCCCCACACATAGCCCAACGCTGACGCACACACCGAGCTGTGACAATGTGCCAACAGGCCAGAACGCTGTGCCTGTCCCCCTGTTGGAGGAAGGAGCTGTGGGAGAGAAGCTATGTGCTCGGGCTCCAGAATGAGGCAGAGTGGGCCTCGAAGTCCAGCACCATCCCTTACTAGCTCTGCGACCTTGGTCAGGCAAGTGCTCGTTAGTCTGAGCTGCAGCTTCCCCATCTGAAAAATGGGATAATGACATTTTCTACTTCACAGGGTTGCAGGGTGGATGAAATACCAAAGTTATCTCCTGGACAGAGATTCTCCTGGAGGCCGGCTCTGTACACTCGCAGGGAGGGCTGAGATCTAGGGAAGGAAATGGCAGAAGGCTTTCCCTGTGGCCTCATGTCCCAGGGACACTGGTTCTACGCCCTGGAGTGAATCCTTAGGGCGCCTCCAACATCCATTCCACCTCAGATCAGAGCCAGTCATGACTGAAACCCTTCTACCCGCCTGGGGTTGGTTCAGGGACAGGCAAAGGACACAATTTTGGCTAATGTGACGTGAAAGGATGTGAGAGTTATAAAGACTCTCAGAAAACATGTCTGGCCCTCCCCCTGGCAAGCACACAGCAGGACTGGGGTCTGGGCCTGGTCTTGTCAATGAGCTGTGAGGTAAGTGACCCCAGCAGCTGGGGTTCCAAGGGATCCCCTGCCAACCAGCAGCTGAAGCTGTAGTGTGGGTGCGGGATACACCTTGGCTGATTTAAGTCACTGACATTTTTGGGTGTTTGTGACCGACACAGGGGAAGTGTGCTGAGGAGGGCTTCCGGGAAAAGTCTCCCGGTTCCTCAGAGACATGACGAGGAAGAATGGCTGCTCTCCTTCACCTAGGTATTGCTGGGTCCAGACAGAACACCACGAGCTGTTGTCGCCCTCCTGCTACCAGCCTGAGGATGAGACCGACGCTGAGGGCAGAAGACAAGAGGTGGGAGGGACGGGGGCCTTGATAATGTGGCTGAAATGCTGGATTCACCCTGCCTGGAGCCTGACCTACTTTTTTTTTTTTTTAAAGATTTTATTTATTTATTTGACAGAGAGAGGGAGACACAGTGAGAGAGGGAACATAAGCAGGGGGAGTGGGAGTGGGAGAAGCAGGCTTCCTGCAGAGCAGGGAGCCGGATGTGGGGCTCGATCCCAGGACTCTGGGATCATGACCTGAGCTGAAGGCAGACGCTTAATGACTGAGCCACCCAGGTGCCCCGAGCCTGACCTACTTCTGAGACTCCTTTTCTGTGGGAGAACACATTCCTACAGTGTGTGAGCCAGCCAAATTTCAGTTACTTGCAGCCAGACGCGCCCCTGTACTTGGGAAGACTTAATTGAGTCCCCATTAGTAGAGCTGATTTTGTGATTTCCCCATTTGGTTCCTTTTGTCTATACTTGTAACTGCAGGGTCATCCTGCCAGCCTAAAGCCACAGCTATTTCTGCAAAGACTAACTCTGAGCCCCTAGGCTTCAACGCCTCCCGGGCAGCAGAGGGGTTGCTCTGGAAGAGAAACTCTGTTTCTACCCATCTGCCAAGAAAACACATATTCTCCCCACCTGCCCAAACCCTGACCTCCAATTCCTCCAGGGAAGGAAGACAGGGCCGAAACAAGAAAAAGCAAAGCAATCTGCAATACTGACTTATCGGTCAGCCAACTGCCTGGTATAATGCGGCTCTACCACGGTGGGAAACTGAAGTGTTGACGCGTTTATTCCATTTTCTCAAGATGTCTGCATCAAATCCCGAGTGCTGAAGGACAACGTCAGTGGCCGCTGGGGTCAGCCAGAGGAAAGCGGAAGGTCTGAGTGGAGGCTCCCGCAGTCTCTACTCCCTGCTTCTGCCTCGGTAACGGAACCCCGGCCGTATCCGGGGCCGCAGTGTAACTGGTTAACAGACTGCATTTCCAGGCTGTCTTGCAGTTCCGGCCAATGAGATAAGAGCGTCGCATGTGACTTCCAGGAAATCTCTGGAAGTGTGCTGTGGGCGCCTTTGCCTCATCTCCTCCGTAAGGCTGAAGCTCCAGCAGCCACCTTAAGACCGGGAGGCAAGAGGCCACGGTCGGCGGGGCACGGGTGAGGGGGAGCTGGGGTCTCTGACAACATGGGGGAAAGAAAGAAACTGTCTTGTCTGAGTCACTGTTTTCTCTCTCAGGCAGCTAAACCTAATCCTGACAGACTGTCTGTAGCTGGAAGTGTTTCAGCAGGCTTCACCACTCAGCTACTGTCCTCCATGAAGACGACCTGTATTTTGTGCAACTGCATAATTCTCAAACGAACCTTGTTAGCCTGATGTAATAAACTGACTGGCCTATGCTGCCCATTCTTTGGGGGTGCAGATCACAGCCAAGGCCTGATCAAGCCAACTGGAAATCTGGACCTGCTGGTCTCTTAGCATGCACGGCTCTGGGCAAAAATCCCCAGAAGAAGTGAAGACCAGCGCTGTTGTCAAGCTCATCTGAGAAACATTAACGTCTTCTATCTTTTCTTGGAAGATGACATCACATTAGAGATAAGGGGTTTGGGTTTTGGTGAGAAACTCACTGTAGTTTCAGGCGTCGTCAGGCAGAAGCTGCTGCGCTGACTGACCTGGGGAGGCAGGCAGGGAGCGCCTGCAGGGAGTGTTAGCAGGGTCAGGCTGTCGGGATGTTGGCTTTGAGCCTGGTATTTTCCTCTATGGCCACAGAGAAAAGTACCAAGAGAGACGTGAACGTGGGCAAGAGCCTCTCCGGAGGGGAGGGCTCCAGCCTGCTCTGCCAGTCGCCTACATGGACTGATGGCACAACGCATGGGTGAATTCCCAGATGACCGGGGAGAGGGTGGATGGACGATGTGGCCATAACTGGCCACCACGCCAACAACCATCAACCTTCTTGGTCTCTGCTGGTGAAGCCCAGGTTCCGCAGTGGCGGCCATCGCTCAGCCATGTGACTTGAGTAAATCCTGACAGTTGCAGACAGTCGTGCGGGTCCAATGTGACCTGCCAGGGGCTGGTTGAGGGGTAGGCAAAATGACTTAGCTCCTTTACTCTTAAAAACGAAGAGAGGCTCTTCCCTCCTTTTCTGCAGGGCACTGATTCTGCTTGGGGCCCCAAGAGCCATCATGGGTCACAAGTGGAGCCAGGTCCCTGAGGATTTCCCTGAAGAAGCCACCCCACCTGTGGACTTACTATGTGATGATAGATCTCCTTAGTGCCTCATGCCTTCTCGAGTTAGGTTTTCTGTCACCTGGAGTCAAATGCCTCCTCACCAATGTACCACTCTTTATGGAGCTGGCAGAGAAAAACAGGGGAAAAAAAAAAAAAAAAGCCAGCCAGGGGGTCTGGTGAGCAAATGCCTAGGGTCCAGTCCAGCCCTGCAGGCTTGCTGAGCCGGGCACACTCTTCTGTCCTAATGCTCCATACGAAGTTTGGTGGTCTGCTCACTTTGCGAACGAGGGTGGCCAACTCCTGAGGACAGGGAAAGCATCCACCAGCCTCTGTCCCCCAGCCGCCAGGACAGGCGCTGCATGGGGCAGTAATGATCCTCAAGGCTAAGGAGCACTTACTGTGTGCCAGGCACAGTTCTGAGTGCTCTAGAGGGTTTTCCTCCATGAAGATTCTCAGTGCTGCTCAGGGATAGACATTTTACATGGGAGCAAACTCGAGGTTCAGAGAGGTGAAGCTGCTGGCCCACACTTATGGGGCAGATAAAGGGCAGGCCATCTTACCACCTTGTCTCCCAGTGAATCTAAGATGGGCCTGGGACAGATTCTGAGCATATGGACCCCCACGATCCTAAAAGCTTGATGAATTCGGCAAGTAGCAGGCCCGCTGGAGACAGCAGGATACAGAGGAGTCCTGAGTGGGGGAAGTCCGGGGTTGCGCAGGAATGTCTGGCCGGGCTCACACGGGTTCCAGGATGTCACGGGGAGGCCGTGTGGAGGGGAAAAGGGAAAGGAGCTGAGGCTAAAGGCCACTGGGGCAGTCCTGGCCAGCTCCCGGGCCTTGTACCACAGGCTGGTGACTGGCTGTGAAAGACACTTCTGAAGTTTTAGGGGATGTACCATGCTAGTACCCTTCTGCCAAACTTGGGACCCAGATGTTGACAGAGATGAAGTGTCACTGTGGGGTGGGGACTCCAGAAGGGACCGTGTATTTTACCCCGATTTGGAGGATAAGCTCAGAGTCCTTTGGCAGGACAGGTCTCGCTCGGGTCAATGTCCTCTCTCCAGAATCACATGGGCCTGGGTTCCTGTCCCAACTCTGTCACTTCCTGGAAGAGTGACCCTGACCAAGGGGATCCACTGAGCCAATTTCCTCTCTGTAAAATGGGATAATTAAGTACCCACCTGTGGAGTCCCTGGGAGCACTCACTGAGATCATGTATACAGCTCAACAGAACAGACCAGGGGAGCCAGAAACAGACCCACACAAACGTGCCCACTTGAGTTCCCCTTCCAATGATCGTTCGCTTTAAGGAGTAAGAGCGATGCAATGGAAGAGGGAGAGCCTTTTCCAGAAATGGTGCTGGAGCAAACTGGACACTGTCAGTAGGCCAAAGAAGTAACATCAACCTAAACCTCTCACCTTATGCAAAAATGGAACTCAAAATGGATCACGGACTTCAATGTGAAATATAAAACAATAAAACATCTAGGGGCACCTGGCTGGCCCAGTCCGTGGAGCATCCGACTCTTGATCTCAGGGTTGTGAGTTCAAGCCCCACACTGGGCGTTGAGCCTACTTAAAAAAATAAATAAATAAAACTACTAGGAAAAAAAACAAGAAAATCTCCAGGACCCAGGTCTAGGCAAAGAGTTCTTAGACTTCACACCAAAAACGTGAACCATAAGAGGGGAAACAATGTAACTTGGATGTCATCAAAACTGAGACCTTTTGTTCTGCTACAGACCGTTAAGGAGACAAAAGGACTTAAAAAAAACAAAACAAAAAAAGAAGACAAAAGGACAAATTAAAGACTGGGAGAAAGTACTTGCAAATCACACGCCTGACAAAGGACTCGTGTCTAGTATACACAAAGAACTCTCCAAAGCTGAAAAATGTTGAATCCAATTAGAAAATGGGCAAAACACAGGCACGGACACTTGCTGAAGAGATACACAGTTGGCCAATAAGCACACGGGAAGATGCTCAACACCATCAGCCATTAGAGAAATGCGTATTAAAACCACAACGAGATCTCCTTACACGCCTATCAGAATAGCTACAGTGAAAACCAGGGAGGACACCCAACACTGGTGAGGATGCGGAGAAGCCAGATCACTCATACACTTCTGGGGGCTTGCGGGGCGGGGGGGGGAGTGTAAAACGGTAAAGGCACTCTGGAAAACAGTTTGGCAGTTCCTTTTAAAACTAAAAATGGACTTACCACATGGTAAGCAGTTGTACTTTCTTCTTCCCCCCCCAAGCGCTTTCCTCTGTGCAATGCAGAATAGTCAGCACACCCATTCACTCAAGTAACGCTGTCCGCTGTGTGCTGAGCAAGCAGCTCTCAGAGCATCGCTCCCCCCACGCCCCCAGCCTCACTGGGGCACAGCTGACAAACTGCAATACGTTTCAAGTGTACGAGGTGATGATTCGATATACGTACGCGCACAGTGCGAAGTGATAACCGCAATCATATTAACAAGCATTATCTCTCATGGCACAGAGTTACCCTGTTTTGGGGGACGATGCTGAAGATTTCAAATGCACGGCACAGAATTATTAACTCAAGGCACCACGCCTACATGTACATTAGATCCTCTGAACTTACTCATCTTGTACTGGCAACTTTGTACCCTCTGGCCCAAATCTCCCCATTTCCCCCACCCCAGCCAGCCACCACTCTACTCCGCCTTTTCTAGGAGTTCAACTTTTTGTTTTGATTCTCTGTGTAAGTGACAGCACCCAGTATTTGTCTTATTCTGTCTGATTTATTTCACATAGCGTAATAACCTCCAGATTCGTCCATGTTGTCACAAATGGCAGGACTTCCTTTCTTTATGGCTGGATAATATTTCACTGCGTGTATACATATCACATCTCCTTCATCCATTCATCATCGGTTAACGGATGCTTAGGTTGTTTCCGTATCTTGGCAAGCAATGGTATTCTTGGGCATTTGTTCCAGGGCAAGAAAAATTCATTTTCATGCACGGTCAGAGGATGAACGTTTGTAGTAGCCCAAGCCCAGAAACCACCCAAATATCCTTTGATGGGCGAATGGTTGGTTATACGTACTAGGCTAGTTCCACACCATGGAACACAGCTCAGCAATGAGGAACTGACTGCTGATGCACACAATGGTTTGAATGAACCTCAAGGAAATTATGCTGGCTGAAAAAGAATCTGCAAAGGATGTAAACTGTGTGATTCCTTTTATATAACAGTTATAAAATAGCAAGAGTCAGAGATGCAGAACAGATTAATGGTTGCCCGAGATTCAGGATGGGGGAGGGGAAGGGTGTGGCAGGACGGAGCTCCGAGGTGCTGGTATGGTGTGTAAATTGTGGTGGTGGTTAGACAACAGCACACGTGTGACCAAACGCACTCACCACACACACGTATCCATGTGCAACTGGTGAATTCTGAATAAGCTCTATGGACTGTACCAATGTCAATGCCTTGCTTTGCTATTTGCATGGGGGAGGCTGGGTGAAGGGTTCATGGAGCTCCCTGCACATTTCTTCGTGACTTCCTGTGAACCTATAATTATTTCAAAAAGTTTAAAAATAATAATAATATAAAGGAGAGGGACACCAAGACTCTGAAACAAAAAAATGCTCCCTGGATTTATCAGTAACATCATTCCCACCACGTCTGTTCTTGGCCAATCACTTGGTACCAAACTCATTTCTAGCCTCAGCTGCTGCTGCCGCCCAGGTGTTCCCACACGCCAGACTCCTCTCCATTCCTCCTGCATTCCACACTGTTCTGCTTACTCCTGTCTGTGGCCTTTGCTCTGTCTAGAAAGACTTTCTCCCTCTTCTCTGCGGCAAACTCCTACTGACCTCTCAAAGCCCTGTTCAAACGCTGCCTCCTCCAGGCAGCCAGCCTAGACCTCCCTCTTCCATGGCCTGAGTCTACCAGCGCATTCGTCGGGGTGCGCATGGTTTCCTGGGCGCTCCCTCTGCCAGCCAGCGGCACCGAGCGCAGGAACCCCCGGTAAGTGAGTATCTCAAACAGTTTTCTATGGGCCCGGCAACAGACAGTGCCTGAGATCCACCGCTGAATGAAGGCTGAATGGTGGTGGCCGGGAAATGGAAGAGGAGTCTGTTTTCCCCCATTTTACAGCAGAGGCTGAGATCCAACAATGGTTTAGTTCAGTGGCTCTCGGCGTGTGTTCCCTGGGCCGGCAGCCTCGCGCGTTCTACACTCCAGACTTACTAAGTCGGAGCCTCAGGGGGAGGCCCGGCCCCTTTGGGGTGATCCGGAGGCATGCTGGAGATCAGTGGAAGGATCCCTACCCTGACAGCAGGGGGTCTCATTTAAACCAATTCACTCCCTCACCCCGTCCTTTCACCAAATAGATACCGAGGATCTACCACGGGTCAGCCTCTGTGCTGCGTGATGGTCCCACAAAGACACACTGGGAGGGTCCCGATCTTGAAGAGGAGCTCATACACACACTCTTGACCTGGCTGACGGAATGGAGAGCACTCATGGTCACGGCTGGGAAATACACAGGGAACTGAGGGGCACAGTGGCAGCACCTCATCTAGTGCAGGGGGAGGTTCGGGGAAAGCTTCCCAGAGGAGAAGCATCAGCGCTCAAGTTGGCAGGACGGGGGAGTGTGGGGTGAAGAGTGTGAAGAATCTGTAGGCAGAGGGAGAACACAGAGGCGGGCTCTGAAATTCAGACAGCCTACCCAGGGAAGCGAAAGCGGCCAGTGAGGCTGAGGTGTGGCTGAGTGAGGCTGGAGAGGCGGGTGGGGCCTGGTGGCCACACCGAGGTGCTGAGGCTGTGTCCTGAGGGCTGGGGGACACATGGGAGGGTCTGCAGCAGGGGACAGACATGGCCACATATAGAAAGATCCCCCTGGCTGCTGAGTGGAGGGTGGACCAAGGAGATGGGATGGAGGCTTGGGGCTCAGGGAGGTGGCCAGGGTGGGGCACTGGGGAGGAGGAAGCGGTGGGGGGCAGAGCTGCTCAGGAGGCCAAATGGATGGTCTGCAGTAGGCAGGAGGAGGAAGGGAGACATCCAGGAGGAAGCCCACGGCTCTGGCCTGAGGACAGGGGAGGGGCTGCCCCTGACTAAGTCAGGGATCCTGGAGGACCAAGGACACAGGGCACCAGGGAGCCATGGAGGAGTTGGGAGGATCCCTTAGGCTGCCAGATTGGAGAAAGGCTCAAGGGGACAGGACTGAAGGCTGAAAGGCCAGGAAAACTGGGTGATGCTGGTGGTCTGGTCCTGGGGAGGCGGAGCTGGAGAGGTCGCTGAGTGGCCACGCCTTCTAGAAGGCAAATGGTCTTGCTTAAGCAAGTGATTCAGGTGTCAATAACATGCCAGCAGAAATCCTGCCTTGAGGAAAGCCGGCGGTGAGTCGTGCCCAGGGCAGCTTGGCTCTAAATCTCAACAAACAGCTAGTCTTCCTGGAGGTCCTCTGATGACCTTCAGGGATCCAGAAACTCCATCAAATGGCAAATAAACTTGTAGGGTCTGTGCATTTCCTGGGGAAGAAGGATCCCCAGCTCTCATCAGATTCCTTAATTTGGAAAGAGTGAAGAGATTCTGACCTTTCTGGGGATGGCTTGTATCTTGTGTAGGTGGCCGAGCCGGGGGTGGAGAAGCTCCCAGAAGGCTGTCGGTAGGGAGGGACTTTGTCGGCCCCTGCTGGTGATGCTGTGTAAGGGGTTTCCGGGAAGCTGACGGGCCTGCAACAGAAACAGGAGGGATGGCGGAAGGCTGGGTGAATTGAGGATACCCCTGCCCTCAGAGGAGGGAAGACAGACCTTTCCCTCAGGCCCAACCACATTCCATCTGCTTCGTCTACCACGCTCCCATCAGGATGCAGGGAGAGCTGCTGAGAGCAAAGGGTGGTGTCCGGGAGCCGGGATACCCCTTGCCCTCCCTCTCCCATTACAGCTGTGCCTGCCCCTCAGCTTCTGAGGCCCTGACAGAGGCCTGACGGGGGCCGCTGAAGCAAGATGCACCTCTGCAAGTTGGATTCCTTCATTTCTTAGAAATTTTTCTTTATTTTTAAATAAACACTACCTTCAAGATAATTTATCTGCAAGATACACACCATCATAATAAAACAAACTCCCAAAGCTACCACCCAAACCAAGAACTAGAATGGCAGCACTTCTACATGCCTACCTGTGGGCTTTCCCCCTTCCCACTTCCCTGCCTCCCCTAGGAAGTGATCACTACCAAGAAGTCTGTGCTTATTAGTCCCTTGAGCTTTCAAAAAATATATAGTTTTAATCATACTTGGTATGGTGGCTACCCAGCCTCAGACACCGAGCTCCCCAGCACTGGGCCCTCACACAAGAGGCTTGTAATGAAAATTTAAGGGAGGGAAGGGAGGGAGGGAGGCATAAGGACAGGGAGAGGAGGAGAAAGACAGAGAGGAAGAGACTGGACAAAAGAGGGAGGAGGGAGAAAAGGGCAAAGCAGGGATGCAGACTGGGACACTGGGTGGTGCCCCTCATCAGTCCTTACCTCTTGCTGTGCAGGGGCTGGGGCTCCCGGAAGGGGACCATGGGGGTCTGCTTCGGGGGCCGGCTCAGGGACTGGGCGTGGCCGGGAGCACTGGGGTTGGCCCACTTGGAGGCTGGTAGAGAGTTGTGGGAGGCAGGCCCGCTCCACTGCCAGGGCACGTTGCTGCGGTAGGGGGGCCGGCCCCCGGGAGGCATGCTCTCTGGCTCCGTCTTGGGCTCCGAGGTATTCATGTCGTAGGTCTCCAGCCACCCCCTGGGAAGAAAAGCTTCGTTACTCAGAAGGGCCCCGACCCACTAGCACACGTACCTGCTGCCCAGGAGAGACCAGTGCCTCGTCACACTGGGCTGGGTTTTCTGGCGGAATCTGAACCATGAGGGCCTATTTTAAAGGCCGAGTAGGTACCCTTTAAGTTGGTCTGAAACTTAGCAGCTCAGAGAAGTCAGTCAGGACAGGGCCCAACCCAGAGGCTCTGACCGCTTGGCCCTCTCTCCCTCACCTCCTCTCTGCTCCTCACTCTCTCTTCGTCTTTCTTCCTCTCCCTTCTCCCTGACCCAGGCTTCAAGTGGACCAGTGTCCTCCATGGAATGGCTCAGCAGCCCCCTCCCCGCCCCTCCCCTCCCTGCAGCGGTACTCGGGGCCAGAAAGGCGGATGCCCTCAGAATCAAAGGATAGTATCTGCCTTGTTCCAAAGAAGCTCAAAGGCAGCTGGAAGAGGAGCAGGTGACCTACTTTGCAGGGTGATTTGGAAAAAAAAAAAAAAGCCATGAAACCCAGAACCTTGAAATAGATGCAGGAGGGCCTGTGACTCCCCCCAGACCAGGCGGGCACACACGCCTCGGTGTTCCTGGCTCGAGGCGGGGCGGTCCGCAGGCTGGGCTGGCCTTCTCCACCCCTGCTGCAGGGCGGCACAGGAGGGGGCTCCGAGCCCTGGAAGCGGGCCGGGCTCACGAAACCCACCTCCCAGCAGCTGCCGGAGCGGAGCCTGGAGCCCTCGACCCCGAAGCTCTCATGCCCTCATCAAGCTGAGCCTCCGCGGATCTCCTGGGTCCTCTGGAACCCAGGCAACTTTCAGGACTGGCTGATGTGGTGGATTTGGTGGCTGGGGGCTCAGGACATGGCTGCTGAGGAGTCTTCAGAAGGCGACCCAAGGAGGTGCTCTGGCCCCTGGCCCCAACACACTGTGCCCTTTGGCACTATCAGGGTCAGAGCTCCTTCTGGCAATCTCTCTGCGTTGGTAGGTACCAACGCCTCACCAGGGACCATGGGAGGAATGACAACAATACAAACGGCTAGCAGAACCCATAGATATGCCAGGCCCAGGTGGAGGTGGACGAGGGGACCATCACGGCATCACTGCTCTTGCCTACTCAGCTCCTGCACCCCATCACCTGGGAACAGGTCTGTGTGCTCTGTGGGGCTGACCCCACTTCTTGGCTGCAGGCGTGAGAATGTCACCCAGGCCTGGCCAATCAGAAACCTCTCCTCCCCCTCCCCCGGACACCATGATCGGCACAGGATTGTCATGTGCCCCATGTGCGGCCAGAGACGGCGTCAACTCTGGAACTGTTTCTGGAACTAATGGGGGAAAGATCTGGTTCACTGGGGCTGCTGCGCTGGGGAGTCCTAAGCTGAAACTGTGAAGAAGGGTGGGTCACCTTTGTCCCACGAGAATGACAGCAAGGTAGAAAAGGAGACAGGTGATAAAGATTCCTGGTGAGGGCGTCTAGGTCCCTGCATCTGGCCACGTCTAAATCTTGCTCTGTCTCCTAGTTTGTCAGGTATAGAAGCCAGGAAAGTCTGTCTTTTGCTTCACCAGGCTTGAGCTGGTTGGTTCTGTTGTTGGGAACCAGAATCCTGATCACTACAACCACACTTTCGAGAGAAGTGAACAGGCACAGAGAAGCTAAGTAACCTGTCCAAGGTCACACAGCCAGTAAGAGGTGGAAACTGGATTTAAATTCAGTAAGTTGACTCCAAAGGCCACAACTTTAACCACCGTGCACACGGGCCCCTGAAGAGCGGTTTGGGAGCCAGTGAGATTTCTCGAGTCCCGGTCTTCTCTCCCCGTTACTGACAGCGTGGCCTTTGGCCAGGAGCCCTGGGCATGATCTCCAAGAGGGAAACATTATCCAGTCATCTTGAAGGCAGCACAGGGTAGTAGAGAGCCAGGGCTTCTGGGCCAGATGGCCAGTTCAGACCCCAGCCTGCATGGCCCTGGGCGAAGGATTTCCTTCCAGAACCTGTTTCCTCATTTGTAAGACGGTGGCTGCAGGCATTCTAGAGCACTAGGAGAGAGTCTGGTGCCTGCGAAGTGCTTAACAAATGGGGCCTTGGTACTGTCGCCTTTTCCAGCTGATTCTGTGGCCAATCTGCCTGCTGTTTCCATGTGCTCAGAGGCCGAGTCTCCCTTCTACCTTCTGAAGTCCAACCACATCCCGCTGGGGGCTCTGGAACAGATCCTTCCCCATTGGTCTGAGAACCAGCAGCATACACACCACCCTGAGAGCTCAGCAGAGGAACGCAGATACCTGGGTCTCAACTCAGCCCACCGGAATCAGAGTCCGCCTTGAGCTGGGGGCCCGGGAATCTGCATTTTACCAAGCTGCTGGAGATGATTTCGACACAAGACAAAGTTTGAGAAAGTGGGACAAAACTGGCATCCCTGTCCCCGGGGTTCACCTACCAGAAGCCACCACAGCTTCCAGTTTCTTATATGTTCTTTCAAAAGTATCCTATGCAGGTATTTCTATGCAAATATTATTTAAAACAGGAAAAAAAAAAAAAGGCCAGCACACTTAGCTCCAAATACCATCTTACTTCCCCCTCCTGGCCCCCCAACTAACGATATTTCTTACCGAGCTCTCTCAGTACAAACAAATTCACTTTATTTCCTTTAAACAGTCAAATACTGTTCCATCACACGGATGACCTGGGATTCACTCAGCCAGTCGGGCCTAAATACCCAGTGCGGTTGGATATTTAGGTTGCTTCCAGTCTCGACCAACAATACTACAGTAGAGAGCATGCTGCAGCCTCAGCCGGGTGTGGGAGATGTCTGAGAGAGGACACCCCCCGGCTCACAGACCTCTTTTCCTCACTGCCTCCTTGTCCTCAATTCCCAACAGCCAAGTTTCTGGGGGCCATGGGGACTCCTTTCTTACCCCTCCTGCTCACTCACTTGTGGGGTTTCAATTTCCCTTCTCCAGGAAGAGTTTACAACCCCCTTGACCAGAGCTCCTGAGTTCAACTGAAGGGGACAAAAGCATCCCAGATGGCCTTCCCCATCAGGAAGCGACAGAGAAGGTGAGATGAGAGCATTCCTCCTGAGCCCGTGCAAGCGGCCAACGTCACGATGACCATCTCATCAGGCTGTGGGACGTTCTCCCGGCTACCTGGCCCAGCTCAGCTGTGGCCAGCGGTGCAGCGCTCACTTGAGAACCCCCGTCTGATGGCCTGGGAGTGTGCGGATGATCCAATCTACCATTCAGTGTCTGAAGAGTGTGGGGTCTAGATGCACACCATGCAGAGCCTGGCTGGTGGCAGGGAGAGCATCTCTGCCTGTCCCCATGTGTCTCCACTCATGGCTTATTTCGACATTTGAGCTAGGAAGCCAGGGCTGCAGCAAGAGGCTGGGAGAGACCCCAGAGCTGGGGTGATCAGCTCTGCAAATGAGGTCGGCCAGACCCCTCTGCATTTGAAGAACAAAAACCATGCAAGTCCCAACCCACACCTGCCCTTGCAAACAGAAGATCCTGTTTCAGTGGCTGCTTTGCCAATGGGATAGGATGATAGCTTTTCTCCTAATGAGGGCAGGCAACAGGGCTCGTCTGTCTGGTCACACCCTCCCTGGCCTGGTCTCCCCAAAGCCTCCACAAAGCTGGAGAAGGGAGCCTGCAGACTTTTACTTTTGTTTCCGCTGGCCCCTACCTGCAGGTCCAGGGACGTCTTTGTGGCCTCCAGTGCAGAGAATCCTCCCACAGGCGGCCTGGCTTATCGTGTGCATGCGCATGGGTGTGAGGGTGTGTGCAGAGTGAGGCAGAGGAAGGTCTGCTGGGGAGCTGGCCTGTGGAGTTACTTGGGCTTGACTTGTCCCTGCAGAGCCTGGAGCGGGTGTGGCTGGGAAGTGGCGCGATAAGAGGGCTGAGAGAAGGGGACGCCTGGGGCTTGACTGGAGTCCCAAGGGGAGACTGGGGAGGTGGGTGAGGGAAGGCCAAGCCCGTGGTTGCAGGGTTTAGGCGCGCCCAGAACTGCCCCCGGCCAAGTTGGGAGCAAGCAGGAAGGGGCGGGTGGAGCAAGCACAGCTGGGCATGCGCACAGCTCTCGCCAGCTTTCCGCCGCCGAGCACCCCGCAGTTAGGAAACCTGGACTGAGGTTTTTCTGCCACTTAGTAGCTGTACAACTCTGCACAACTGATGGGTCCCCTCGGGGCCTCAGTTTTTCATCTGTAAAGTGAGGGTCGCGTGTCACCTATGTCAGCCTTCCCCTTGGCTCACTCTGCTCCAGACCCTCTTGGCGGTCTGGCAACAAGCCAAGGCCCTTTGTCCTCACTTTCATAATGGCCACTCCCTCCCTGCAAGACCCTTCTTCTGGCTCCTTCTCACCTTCAGGCCTTCCCTGATGACCCTGTCCAAAGTCAGGCTCCGCTCTTTCCTCACACCTAGTATCTCACAGCTGGTGTCTCTATAGCGCCCCCTACAGGCCAAGTGCTGTTCTAACTGCTTTATTTACAAAGCTTTTCTCCAACCTCACCACCATCTTTGGGGAAAGGATCTATCACCATCCTCCTTTTACAAATGAAGAAACTGAGGCACAGGATATGAGGCCACTGGCCCAAGGCCACGGTTTACTATGAGGAACAGCTAAGAGTCAAACCTCGGTGATCTCACTGCAGAGCCTGCCTTCTCACGATGCTCAATTGCCTCCCTCTTTTGCTATGTGAAATCACCACATTCCCTTGTTCACCGTTTGCCTCCCCTGATCCATTCAGTAGTTCCATGAGGGCCAAGGCCTGACTCCTCTGTGCAGCTGTGTGTCCAGCACTTGGGATGTAGTGATTCTCTGTCTCTGGCCACCGCTGGAGGTCGCTAGGGCACCAACTCACCATTCTAAAAGCTGCATTTACCCTGCCTTCCCCATCTAATAAATTCTACCCCAGAGTAACCAAATAGTTACTGAAGGAACGTTCTTTTTAGAAGGATTTCAGCCAATAAATGAAGAAGGAATGATGGAATTGAGAACAGTACTCGCTACTCTGTGACCCATGATGAAATAACTGATTGAGGCAATAATGACCCATGGTTGTTGAGGGGGACAGGGTATGATGACGGGTCCAAGTGCCACCACCTAACCCTCTGCCCTCAGGGTCACTCACG